CCTCTAGGGGCTGAGATTCTTGTACCACCTTTTTGTACCCTTCTTATTCCTCTTTTTCCCCGTGGAGGGTTCATCCCCACCGTAAAGGTCATTGTTCTTGTACTGGCTGGCCCCACACCGGGGACATTTATCTAGTGACTTGAACGTTTTGCTATGAAAAAGTATACAGTGGTTGGGGCATGCATGGATTTTTTCAACCCCCATTGTCAATGGACTTATGACCTTCTTCGCTTGGTATGTGTTGGCGGGAACTGAGTTTGGTTGTGGCAGCACCCATGACAGGAGATGCAATAGATCATTGAAACTACAGTCTGACCAGCCGTACTTAGCCTTCAGGATGAGCAGCTCAAGCACAAAACGTAGCAATGTCCAATGTGTCGAACAACCCTTTTCAACACCATACACAGTCTCTTTCGATGCTTTTGTCATCCTTTCCAAAATTTCTAGACCTTTCGGACTATTTAGTAAAATCTCTGGTCTAAGGGCTCGAATCATGTCCTCCAAATCATCTTCATCCCCGACACGTGCTCCACCATCATTATTGGCACCATCTTCGTCGTTACCATCCCAACCACTAGCATCACCACCTTGTTCATTGCCAAACTCGAAATTCATTCGTGCATCAAGCTCTGCTAAATATTAGGACAGGGATTCTATGGTTTCGTCGTCGTATTCCTCCTCATCCTCGTCGTTAACAATAACCGTTTCACCATGATGAATCCACATTGTGTAGTCCTCAACAAATCCTCGCATAATCAAATGTGATATGCTGATAGTCACATCTATCCATGCCATATGGTTCTTATAATCTTTATAGGGGCAAATAATTGTATCCTTATTCTCTTTCAATGTCGTTGCGTGCTTCTTTGCGGCTTCAATAAATTTATCCACTTCTTCACGGAAACCTGCCTTGAACCTTAACGAACCATACATCCAAGAGTTCCTGTACTCCATCTTTTACAACAACAACAAAACAAACATTAAAGAACTACTTATTCAGATATATATAAAAATGAATCAAATTAATAATTACTTGAGAATAATTGTATATACTTCAGATATATATGAATATAAATCTAATATAATTATATGAAGCATACAAACTCACCATGGTAGAGAAAAATTAATTAATGACCCATTTATCCATAAATAATTAAAATACATATTTATTGATTACAATAAACAATTTCAAAGACAACAATTAGCAACAATTATACTTTACCCAATATCTTTCATACAAACCATAGTCCAATTTTATCAAACATAAATTTACAAAAAATGAAATTAATAAAAAAAACCAAACCCTAGATCTAGATCCACATGCACATGAAACATCCATAAAACTAACTAATTGTTCACTAAAATCAAGAAACATGAACCAAATAAGGGTATGAATTTGTTCCTCTCCCTAATTTACCCTAGTATATTTAAAACTTGGGTCTAATTTGCTTCATAAGTAGCTTAAGCACCATAGAAGAGAGAGAAAAACAAAACTCTAATTACTCACTAACCAACCATTAAAACTTCAAAAAAAAGTGTGGAATAGCATTTTCCTACCTTCTACAACCTCTCCACCAAAGGATTTGAGACCAAAACATTTCCTCTTAGTAGAGCAATTTTTGGGAGGTGCCCAAGGCCTCCGCATCTTTCTTTCACGGGTTGGAGTGAGTGACCCGATAAGGAAGAAGGTGCTGCAGCTGTTTTATATCTGGATCATTTATAGGGGCAGCTGGTGATTGAGTCGCTCCTACAAATTGGAGCTATTTATACGGAGGCATTTGTAGGGGCGGCTCAATCACTAGCCGCCCCTACAAATAGCAACTCCGAGGGCGGCTGGTGAGTGAGCCGCCCCTACAAATCAGACCCCATTTGTAGGGGCGGTTCGTATCACCAGCCGCCCCTGCTGTTCCATTTGTAGGGGCGGCTGGTGTCTGAACACCCGAGCACGTCACTGTAGAGGCGGCTCCATTACCAGCCGCAAAAAAAAAAATCAAAGCGTTGCTAAAAATCGTTTTTTACGTAGTGCGCAGTCCGCACACGTCACTTCGCCAGACTCACGCATGACTGGTACTGCATGTCCGCCGCCCGACGTCCCGCCCAAGAAGCAACAAATTGGGAACCTATAACACAGCAGAGCTACTCACGGAGAGCAAACGGCACCTCCGCTTCAAGAAGGAAACATCCAAACGGGGAAATCACTGCAGGACTCCTTTGGTACCCCTGACTTGGGTAGGGGTAGACCGGCAGCAAAACGCCTCAGTGTACCCCCTCTCATGTTGTGCACACATGTATAAGAAACCTTATTGATGATGCATTCATCTAAAAAGTAGATAAGGTCACCTTGAACCCCAACATGCAAACCAGCAGAAAAGGACCTGCAACCGCTTTTCTGAACAAAGATACAATCGCCATCAAAGTTATGAATCTTAGTGACTCCACAAGGGCTTGTGCTGAAGTCTAATGCAAACACCTCAACACTCTGAGGTTTGCAGTCCATCGTCATGTAAGTGTAATCACTGTAGATTCTGATGATTAATAGCAGTTTTTCACGCCATACCACCAGGTTGCACCTCGTTGAATCAATGGTCTTGGAAGGGATAAGCCGATTAATCTTATAACGCTCAGCACAGGACAAACTGACACCGTGCTCGTCCTCCCTAAGCTCAAAAAAGCAAAGATTCTAGGTCTGGACTTCCTAACCACGCACAACTTCCCCTGATAGAAGTCAAGATCACCGCTGAAAGAATCAATTCGAGCGCTTCGACAAAGATACCATGAGGTCATTCCACGTTGCCAGAGAGCCAGTCCAGGTGCACCCCTGTGGCAAGACAAAGCAGCCACAATGTAATTGGATCCTGAGCTAGGTGATGCAGATAACACTGCACAGAAAAGCAACAGCCATGACTCTTGTTCTTTGGTGCATTAAAGAATCTTGGGATGGGGCGAGCACTTGTGGATTCATCCAACCAATCGTAATTGCAAGGGCTCTGCTGCAGAAACGGAAGATGAACCACCTCGCTGGCAGTCGTCAGAAGAGCCCACGATCAAGGCATCATCACCCGCCGCCACGACGGGCATCACGGCGCGCCGGGCGGCAGTTAGCGCCCCATTGGAGGTCAAGCAAGAGAACCTGATGAATCTGGGGGGCACCAGCACGGGCAGGGCCTGGACGCGCGCGGCCAAGGTTTTTATTTTCGGAAATTAAAATTTATCAGGGGTCACAGATAAAAAAGATAAACATGATATATCGGAAAATATCGGACAAAATTCAAATAAAATTTAATTTGAATTTAAGTAAATTTAAATAAATTTAAACAAAATTTGTATGAAAAAGATAGATATTTTCTTATCGGCACCTACGGATAAAAAAGATATATCGGAAATATCAAGAGATTTCGGCCGAAAAAGAAAACCGTGCGCGCGGCGGTGCGCCGGTGGCGGCACACAGACCGCACGCTGGCGCGGTCGGTGAGGCAGGGGAGGAGGCTGAGCACGGTGCCTAGGATGTCTGCCGGAACATCCGCCCAGTCGCCCACAACGGTTGCGTGCTTCCTTCGTAGACACTTTCGTCCAACACGTCGCGTGCGTACTGCGGACTCGGCCCACCAGCGGCGGCGATGCTCCGCAGCAACCACCACCAGTGGCCGTGTGAGATGAGGAACAGGAGAGAGGGGATTCACCAGCGGCTTCAGTGCCGGAATCCGTCGCCATTGGCATTGGGGACCTTCGTTGCGGCGTTTCTTGATCTGGCAAACCCATCTTACCCAAGCGAAGCGAGGTACTGCAGAAAAAGCTGTAGGCTGGACCTAGGGTTGGGTCTGTGATTCATTTGGGCTAGCAACTTGGTACCCAAGCCCGCCAAGAGAAGTGGCAGTCAGCGGGCCTGACCAATTGGGCCAAATTACCTTGTCTGTGCTAGCGTTATTAATTATACATAAATAACTTGTGTCGACTTACTGTGACATTATTATACATAAATAATCGTTACATCAGACTTCAGACTACGTTTATACTCCTACAAAACTACCCTCATCAGATATTTAATTCCTCTGACATCAACTTGAGAACCGCTAGTACAAATCAATTTACACTGATAGATACATGGTTTAAACCGTTCACCAGTGTAACTCTATTTACACTAACGGTATGGTTAAACCAACCACCTGCGTAAATGATTTTACATAAAATACAACTGAATTTGTTCATTAATTTTTAGAGACAACTAAAATAACATACATCGTCTGTAAAAATTATCGGTGAGGGGGTGAACTGGTGAAGGTGCGAGATGAAGCAAGGTGTGGTTGACTTCATTAAGCTCTTTGGAGGGCAAACGATTTTAACCACGTGGACCATGAGCAAGCAGGATGATTGAAGGTGTTCTTTGAGATTCATAGTGGTAGAAATAAAGTAGTATAGATAGAGATAAAAAATAAGCTCGGCACTTCAAAAATGCACAACACCACACTTCTGGCAACAGAAACCCAGTGCACAACACAGAACTTCTGGGAACGGAAACCCAGCAGGATTATTGTTGTCCAAATGGACTGCCTGCACAGCACAACTTTCACACACTTGTAATGCTCGTAAAAAAACACTAGGCCGCGCTTCTTGCTTTTAATTCCCACATGCAAACGGCTCCTAACAAGTGGCATGTCTAGATTCTCAGGAACAAGCAGCTGAACAACAGGTGAAGAATGTAAAGAGCCCTTCAGTAAAGCTTGAAAAGCCTTCTGAAAAATATTTATACTTTGATAATCTAACACTGTCCCGCATCATAGTTCATCCAAAGTCCAAATGCAATCAAGCATAGAAATGGATTCGGAGCAAAATACTTCAGTATTAGAACTCATGGTTACATGCTTTAGGCCTGAAAATGGGTACCTGGCAGGAACCGATGTTAGGATCACATCAGAGCTCCTTTTTTTCTCATACTGTACGTCTGTACCTTTCTTAAAACATCCACTGTATGTCTGTATTTAGTCTTTATTCAGTGGACGTACTCAGCAACTCATCACGGCGAAATTAAACACGTCAGTACCTGAGGGATGCCTGGCAATCAAATTCCAAACAGGTGGCTGCTCATTGGGGACCCATGAGTAAAGCTTAACAGCGTCATGACATTCAGCCCAGTCGTTGCCTCCAGCGAAGATCAATTTGTCATCGCATGCTTTGAAACCAATACCCGGTCTAAGACTGGAATGACAATCTTCTGGCAATTTTCCAAGTGTGATCCATCTATTGTTCCGCTTGTCATACTTGATGACATTGTTCTCAGTGTAACTGTGATAAGCTGCTGCATAAAGCTCGTTGTTGACAACTGCAGCAGGAGGAGCAGTAGGACCAAGCAATTCTGTGTTGATCATGAAACCCTCAGCCATGTTGTCGATCACCCTCCACGACCTCCGCTCAAAGTCGTATTCCTCCCCGCAGGTCAATACCTCTGTGTTGCTGCCCACCCCACCAATCACATACAGCTTCCCGTCCATGAATGCTGCTGAACACAACTTTCTAGCTCTATTCATGCTTGGGAGGCGCTCCCAAACTTTTTCCTCAGAATCATACATCACTACTGCGGTGCTCAAGACCCCGTCATAATAATCAGTAGTTCCGCCTGCCAGATAGGCTTTTTGCCCCACACTTGTTGAACCAAATAGGCAGCACGGAAAGAAGTTCGTCGCATCAGTCGTCTGAATCCATGAATTGGTTAGGATGCTATATATTAACAGAAAGCCCCATCTGCCAAACACGAGCAGGTCTGTGCCCACAACGAGCGACTGCTGATGGTTACCCCACATGAACTTTTCATCTACTGGCATATTGGGTGCTCGGATCCAGCGCTTGCGCTCCAGGTCATATGCAGTCCACTCTCCCCATTTACAAGAGACGTAGATCCAATGCTCTGCTACCCCGGTCAGCCGCCGTAGGCGGTAGATATCCCCATTGCGCACCAGAGTCCGGAAGTGCCGGCTCAAGGAGGCCACTCTGCCGTAATCCGACCGGGACACTCGAAGAAGGCACTTGAGGGACAGCTTAGGACCAATTGCACCAAATAGTCCGTCGCCATGCTCCTCTATCTTGTGTATTTTCTAAAGGACACGATAATTAGATCAAGATAGATATTGCACCAAATTTTCATCTTTTAATAATTAATTATCAACACCGTAATAGTTAACCATTTTATTTGCAAAGATGCAAAAAGGTAGAATATATGGATTTTTCCACCAACAACTTACAAATATTCTAAAAAGGCTAAAGATTTGATTTCTCAAATACAAAAAAAAAAATCATCATATAAAAAGTGAAATTACCTGTGCTCTTGATAAGTTACTCATGTCAGTGACAATATACCCATCCACAATATCCGCTTCATCAAGTCTACGGACAATATCCCGTGCATCTGGTCTCCTTCTTGGATCATAGTCAGTGCATTCTTTCCCTATTTCAGCGCACACTCGTAATTGCTCCAACTGCTTTTCTCTGTGTATTTTGTCCAACCTATTCCCCCAACTTTTGAGTACCTGTGAACTGCAAATTGTGAGTTATATGATTTATTTATGAAAGGAACAATTGACACCTCTTGTACCATGAATTAAAGTATTACTAGTCTATCCACCTGTGCTCGGGCATAGATTAGAATCTTAAGAGACATAAGCATCAGTTATTGTTTAATATCTCTCACTAAAAATATATATATAATAAATTGCTTATTTTCTTTATCTTTGTCCATTTTTCTAACATAATAGGCATAATAGATACTTTGTAGTCTCTATATAGTTGTGAAATAAACTTATCAATTAGTGATCTATATGTTTTCATCCATATCTATAGATTTTTTCTTTTGTACAACTCCTCTTTGCTTGTGTTATCCAGATGAATTTAGTTCAAACATCAGCTTCAACTATGATGTGTACTCTTGTAGCAGCTCATATTATGATGTCGAGAATCTAAATTTAGATTTTCAAATTTTATCTTACTAATTGCTATAGTTTTTTATCCTCAAGTGGAAATTCTTCTACTTACTCTATCCTTTTGCGGTTCTTAAAAGAAAAAAAAATTGAGATCATAGACTACACTTCAGGCACTATGATGGCATTAACAATCATTCAAACTTTGCATCGCGTCGCTTAGAATCAGTGGTACAAGTTGAAATAAGATTTATAATAAGGTAGCAGTACCAACCTCAATAGCACATTAGTATTTAAGCTTTATAGTGATGGTTTACTCCAAATGAATCTCAAAGGCCACGAAGATATAGCCCACCTATGAGCTACAGCTACACTAACCTTCCCCACTTCTCAGGATATTTCAATTTTTTATCAAGAAATTATATGTATATGTAAACATTTTTATTCAAATGTGTAAATATATCCAAACTAGCAACTTATAAAATTAAATAATTTGTTATTATCATTAGTATATGAGTCATTAAGGAAATATTTTTCATGATTACTAAAATATAACATATATATTTAGAACTCATGCAAGGATTTGTACTTGATTTGCAACATGTATGTTTTCTTTAGTCAAATTTTAAGATATTAATAATAACAGAAGTGGGTAACAGAGAAATATATATGTTTTATGGTTATTTAAACATTTCTTGTAATAGAATATTTTTAAGAAGATCTGAAAGGATATTTTAGTTGTTTTAAGAATGACAGAAGTGGTAATTTAGATGTAAATTTAAGGAGTTACGTAGAGTGCTTATCATAATATTAAGTAGGTAACTAAATGCAAATTTTAGGAGTTATGTAGATTATTTATCATAATAGCAGGTGGGTAATTAGATTATCTATCACGTTTCTTCATAGTATAGTTGGTAATTTAAATATAGAAGATTTTTTAGTTACTTTTGTTGTTTTAAACAATAGTATAGGTGGTTAATTGTTAAGAAAATAAAATATATCCAACGGCTATTATTATTAGTGGTGATTAGAGTCTATCAAATTGATAGCTAGATGTTTTTTATTATTGTGAAAACTTCTAGGATTTATCTTTTTTTCTAGCGTTTTTTGTGAGAATTAACTTAGAGCCTCCATTGGAGCCTCTAATTAAATGTAGAGTTGAAAGGATATTTTAGTTTTTTAAGAATGACAGAAGCGGTAATTTGGATGTAAATTTAAGGAGTTACGTAGATTGCTTGACATAATATTAAGTAGGTAATTAAATGCAAATTTTAGGGGTTATGTAGATTATTTATCATAATAGCATGTGGGTAATTAGATTATCTATCATGTATCTTAGTTGTATAGGTGGGTAATTTAAATATAGAAGATTCTTGAGTTACTTTATGTTGTTTTACACAATCGTAGAGGTGGTTAGTTGTTTAGAAAATAAAATATACCCAACGACTATTATTATTAGTGGTGATTAGAGTCTATCATATTGATAGTTACATGTTTCCAATTATTGTGAAAACTTCTAGGATTTTTTCTTTTTTCTAGCGTTTTTGTGAGAATTAACTTAGAGCCTCCGTTGGAGCCACTAATTAGTAATAGTAAGATAAGATGAGTAACATGAATTATTATAGTTCCTTACTAATATATACATATAAATGGTGATAGCAAAAATGTTGATGTAATGCCATGCCAATGCCTAAAATCGAATGTCTTTAGCAGGGGAGTAGATAAAAAACCACATAATCATATAAAGGCAGAAACCACATCAAGTAAAGTGCATCCCACTTCAAAGTCTATGCTTTTTCTTTTCATATTTAAATGATTTGATACTGAGGAGCAAACATTGATTTACCCTATTTTGCAGCCAAATTATGTTGTTAGCTACTAGTTGTGCTGCCAAGAAAAGCATCTAAAAGGAATGATGGTATTGTGCCAAGTAAAAGTATAACAATTATTCTTACATCATAGTCCTCAGGATACATCTTTTCTCTTGTCAGTATCTCTATGATTATAACTCCAAGACTATACATATCTGACTTGAATGTGATTCTTCCACAGTGGACTTCAGGTGCTATGTATCCTCTACAAGAAAATTTATATATAATACATTGAATTAGTGGGAAGGAGACCAATATAATGCATAATTAACCACTAAAATGACTTCTCAGGAAGCTTGCCGTCTTACAGTGTTCCGTATATTTTTGAAGTAATAACATGGCTTTGCCTTTCATCAAAGCACCTCGAGAGACCAAAGTCAGCTATTTTGGGCACCAAATTGTTATCGAACAATATATTAGTAGGCTTCAGATCTAAGTGAACAATACAATTCTCATGAAGATAATGCAAGCCCGCACAAATTCCCTTGATTATTTGGTACCATTGTGTCCATTCAAGCTCACGTGATGCGTCTACAAATGGAAGAGGATAAAAGAACTTTAGTTACATGAGATACTCCTGCATGATATATTTTAAATCTAGCTAGGGTTAGCAAGGTTGGTAAATTTTGTTGACACTCCACCACATTCAAATAAAAATCCAAGTCTATCTGACGAAGGGCCTGTTTGGGACAGCTCCAAATTTTAAAACCAGACCTGAAGCACTAGATCCACCTTAGAGCAGCATCAGTTTGGATCTGAGATTCAAAAAAACTGTTTGGGACAGCTCCACGATGAATCTGCTGGGCTGGCCCAACAACCAACCCATCATGGCCCAACAGTAGCCCATCATGGGAGCTCCTTTTTCCCCTTTGTCTCAAGACACCTTGGGCCCGCACGTCAACCTTTTTATCCTCTTCCGAACCGTGCACGTTTCTTCATCCTCGTCGGGACTAGGCGTGACGGTGTGGCCATCAACTAGCGGTGTAGGTGTGCCTAGTAGGGGCCCGCGAGGTGCGGTCAGCGTGGTGGCCGGGGATGCGCGTGCGACCGTGCATCGCGACTAGCTGGGAATCCTCGTCTACTGGGTGTGGATGCAGTGGCCAGGGGGCACGGACAACTCGGTCGCAGACGCGGCTTGGAGGCTCGGGTCCGCTTAGGCCGACACGGCCGGAGGCTAGCGTGGGTGGGCTCGGTTCGAGACGACCAACCGCCATGGTTACCATGCGGCCGGCGTGAGAGGAGGGGAGGGCTGGGCGTAGGGAGGGGAGGGCTGGCCGGGGCGTGGCCGCATGGTGAGGGGCGCCGTCCGTGGATCCTGCACCGGGGAGGGCGTCGACGTGAGGGCAGCGTTGCCATGGCCGGTGGGAGCACGGAGTCAGGAGCCTTTAAGAGAAAGGAAGAAGAGAACAAACCGTTCATTTTCACTAATCAGTGGCATGGTGGGTAATTTTTGCTAACTCCACAATTCTGGATCTTGCCTTGGGTTTTTGAAGCACCTATTGAGGTGCTCCACGAAATCCATGGATCTGGCCCTGAGATCTGAAATCTTGGGTGCTTCTTATTTCTTGGAGTTGGCATGTTTGGCTAGAAAAGTGGGATCTGGAGCTGTTTTTCCTAGATCCGGAGCTATCCCAAATAGGCCCTAAGCAAACAAGATAGAATTTGAATGGGTTGCTAGTCACCAACCTCAAAGCGATGTGATCATGTGTTTTCTTCGTAATAAAATAAGCCTCTATGAGCCTTTGGTGAAAAATGGTGGCAACAATAGAATAGTAAGAGAAAATGGGAACCTTTGGTCGGGTTTAAGGAGGTGATTTTTAGATATTGTTGCAATAACACCGCCAGTTATTGGTTTGAATTGGTAGCATTAGTTAAGTATTACTGCTAGTTCATAGCTCAAACCGTCAATGACATGTGACCATAGGTTTGAACAATGGGCTACTAGTGAATATCTCTAGCATTGCTAATTTGTGGCCTTCTCAAATATATATACAGAGCACGAGAAGGCTTGAAACCGGCAGTGCTGGGCCATATGCAGTACTAGTGATTTCTATCATAATGATATCTTGAATCAAACTATCTTTAATAAATATAATGAAGATGAAAAGAAGGTTACATGCGACATTACCCTACCGATGATATAATCATGAAGACTCCCTTTAGGCAAATACTCAAAGCACAGTAATCTTTGTTGTACATCTGCCATGACAAGCTTCCCACTGTAGATTTCCATCCTTCCTTGTGTGTCAGCACAATATCCAAGAAATCTTACTACATTTTTGTGGTCCGCCTTCATTAGACATTCAACCTCTTGATGAAATTTGTTCTCATGCAAATGGGTATTGAACAACTTCTTCACAGCAATTGTCCCATTCCTAAGCATTCCCTGCAGTCACAAGAAACCGTGTCAACATCAACTTAAATTTTTGAGCAGCTACATCTTAAGAATTGCCCAACTGAGACCTAGATATATCATACCTTATAAACCACAGCAAACCCACCGCTTCCTATTCGTTTGTCATCGGAGAAACCATTTGTGATGTTTTCCAAAAGTGATAATGGCAGATCAGTCGGCTCTACACTTTCATCGAGCAGCATGCGCTCAAGGACATCACGTTTTGTACTAGCTGCACGATCCATCTATCACAATACCCTTGAAACAGAAAAAGAAAGTACTGTCTGAATTATTCACTGTGTCATAAGAGGACGCAATTACAGAAAGAATATCACTCTTCTATTTCACTCTTATTCCCTCAGTGGGCAAACATTCTGAAATGGAAACTCCCAACAAGCTCAAGAAAAATTGTGAAAGGAACAAATACATCTCTACGTACCCAACAAGAAGGGGCTCGACTAATCTACTCAGGAACATGTGAGCTAACGATAGAAGAGCTTCTGCCACAGCACCCAACTAGCATAATCTTATGGAGTAGGAGTATATCTTTTACAGGAAACAAAACTGTAAGAGTTAAATACACTGGCGGCCGTTAAGGGGGCAGATATCGGTTTTGAGAGTTCGTGAACCTAAGTGGCACAGGGTCACAAGTTTAAGGGCCGCCAGTGTATTTAACTCAAACTGTAATTACCTGGAGAGGCACTCCGTCCTGCTTAGTGAAGAAGATTTTCAGACATTGCTCACCCTGTAGGAGGCCGACGGAGCAATGAAAAGAAAGAGAAAGGATTTGAATCCTGTGGAAACCAGGACAGGCACCCAGCTTAAACAAAAGCTGGGACACTTAGCCAGAGGTCAGATCTAGACAGTACATCCAAATAATGCAGAATATTGTTTTAGACACCCAGCTTAAAGAAAAGTTGGGACACTAGCCAGAGGTCAGATCTGGACACTACATCCAACATCCAAATATAATAACGTTACGTTGACAAAGCTCCACAAAGTGGAAATGCAGACTTGCAGAGTATTTTTTAGAAACCAGCTAGTGAGCTCTAAGACCGAAACAGTGCCGTGCAACTGTGCAAGGTGCAATACTAAACAACTCGAAAAGTAATGGTGAACCCACGGCTTCACTGCACTGCTTCAGTAGCCGAGCGAATCATCCTCATGTGCAATCACACTTGAGGAGGACGTGAAGCTTATACAAATGCTTAAGTAAATTTCTGCATAAATCCCTTTCATGGCAGATCGAGCTTGTTGCTTCCTGGCAGCGACGGCGATGCCATGGACCGATTGAGCCACACGTTGGCAAGGTTGGAGATGGATTGTATGGGAACCAGCGACTTCACCAACCTGCTTGACACAGAAATCAGGAGGTCAATGCCACCGGCCAGGGATTTTAATCCTCGCCGAGTTCTACAGAAACAATCCCGGAAAATGTTGCCGGCCAGGGATTTGAATAATACCGGGGAAACTTCAGATAGCTTTCGCGAGTGTTCCTGGCGCCGATCGTTAGCTCATACAACATTATCCGTCGTTGAGGTACCGTCCGCTGCAGTTTGTTGGGCAACAAGAATGGTTCAGTTAAGCACAACATTGGACGGGTCAGATTCAGATTTCAGCGGGCACGATTTCTTTTATATTTCACATCGGGAGTACGTACCAAGAATGGTAAAGATCAGCCTGCTGAGATCGTGAAGGAGAACATCCGGCGAGCCTTCGTCAGGCTCATATATATGGCTGGCGGCCTGCCGCCTCCCAAAACTGGAAGAATCTGGTGAAGATGGGAGGCCAATGCGTTGTGCGACAGCTATCGATGATCTGAGGTGGAAGTGGGCCGGGATTTGGGAAGGACAGCGCCAGCTTGTCCAGAAGAATTTTGCCGCATTTATCAGGTTTGCCAATGTACCCTATACCTAAGGCAAGACAGTAACGATTAGATTAACACTAATCTATCAACTCGTGCTGTGCAGTGTGAGCAAATTTAATTACTGAGACAATTGCTTGCTGATATATATATCCCCCCTAGTTCAAGAATATTAAAAAAATGTTTTTAGGCCTTCTATCAAAGTTGTACTCTAGATATTTTTTTCTTGTCGGTACTGCATAAATATGTGTCATCCATATTGTTTTTTATACCGGTAGAAAAAATTTGGCACCAGCCAATAAATACGAAATTTTAGGAATTTCGGACTGAATTTAAACAAATTTAAAAAAAATGGCAGGATTTTAGTTGAAACTCTCTAATCCATCTAGTATATATATGTATATAAAGAACAGTAACAAATGGTGTGTACCGAGGGAGAAATGTGATTCATCATCATACCAGAACATAACTTATGTGCCAGCACCCAGCGCCAAACGGTTTGGGACCGAAATATAAATTAATGTTGTCCAGGAGCAGCGACAGCGAGCCGCTGACCGACTGTGCGTGAGGCCGTGGGGACCAGAACCGGCGGCAAGCGCGAGAGCCAGCCTGCTTCATACCATTGGCTCTGGTTGATTGCGGCGGCGGCGTGGCGCGACGGCACGGCAGCGCAGCCCTGGCAAAGAGGCGGGCGGCCACGCAACGCTGGCGGGAGGCGAGGCGGCGGACGCAGCAGGCAGCGCCGGTGAGAGGCGGGCAGCAAAAGGCGTCAAGGGCGGCGGCGGCTTGCGAGTGACAAGTGCCGATTTGGCGAGAGAAAAAAAAGACGAAATGCGTGGAGTGGGAATAGCAGAATTGGCCCATTTAGGTGCGGAATTTGGGCGCAGGCCAAATTCTAAAATTTTGACCCGTACATGTTTTTTTCAGCGGTAATGCTATCCTCCGTCTGCCCCTGAACGCTCACGTTTGTGGGCCGCGACGCAAGCCCAAACACCGCAGCGGAGCTCAGCCAGCGCTTACAAAGCAGCGCGAGTGCTCCACCCGTGCGCTCACGGCGGCCGGTCAGGGCGGACGACGTCCGCACACTTATCGTGATCTGCCTACCTAACTCGTCGCGGCCACCCGCGCACTTCTTGTGCTCCGCCTGCCTAGCTCGCCGCGGCCAAGGGTGGAGCTCGCCCCTCACGACAGCTCAGGCGGAGCCTGCCCGCGCACATCTCGTGTTCCACCTAACCAGTTCGTCGTGGCCAAGGCGGATCTCGCCCGCGCGTAGCTCGTGACAGTCTGGATGGAACTCGCCCATGCATAGCTTTGCAGTGGAGCTCACCCCGCGCACAGCTCGTGCTCCACCCGCACGGTGTTGAAACCTACCGAGGCCTTCTGAGTGGCGATCTCCGCACCACCGGCGAGCTCTACATCTGTGAACTCCACACACCAATGAGGCTCCATTCTCCCAAACAGTAACGAGTTGTTGCCCTAAAACCGCTTGTTGCAAGCGTTTGTTTCAGTTGTTTCTAATGTTTCAGAGATATGTTACAAGTGTTTTATATCGATGTTGCAAAAATAGATCGAGATGTTGCACAAGTTGCAATGGTGTTTCAAGTGTAGGTTCCAAATGTTTTATCTGTTCTAGACATATGTTGCAATTGTTTCATTTGGATATTGAAAAAGTAGATCTGGATGTTGCATATACATGAATGTTGCAAGTGTATGTTTCAGGTGTTTCATACGTATGTTGCAAGTGTTTCGTCGGGATGTTGTATATGCTTTGTAATGGCTACACACACTACCGGACTCAGGCTCTTTGCCGAGTGCCTGTGACACTCGACAAATCCCCATATACACTCGGCAAAGTCTTTGCCGAGTGCAACCCTCGGCAAAGATCACTCGGCAAAGCCGGTGACGGCAAAGGCCTCTTTGCCGAGTGTCTTTTGTCGGGCACTCGGCAAAGGCTTTGCCGAGTGCCCGTAAACCACTCGGCAAAGAAAAGTTGTCTGACGGCGCCAATTGACGGTGACGGTCGCTTTGCCGAGCGCCTCACGGGGGGCACTCGGCAAAGCCCGCCCTCTTTGCCGAGTGTCAATCCCACTACACTCGGCAAAGGTGGCCGCTTTGCTGAGTGCCTAATTGGCGGCACTCGGCAAAGGCAGGGAGGCTTTGCCGAGTGTCTAACTTGTGCCACTCGGCAAAGGCAGGGAGGCTTTGCCGAGTGCCTTACTTGTGGCACTCGGCAAAGCCTCCCTGCCTTTGCCGAGTGCAATAGTTATAGCACTCGGCAAAGCCTCCCAGCGTTGCCGAGTGTCTTGGTCATTGCACTCAGCATAGCTGGGAAATTTGCTTTTTTTTGCATTTTTTTCGTTTATTGCATCCACACATACATATATCACACAACCACATATCACACAACAATCACATATATCACACAGCCATCACATATAATCCATAACCATGACAAATATCATCACAAGTTGTCCACAAGTATCACATAGTCCACAAATATCATCCAAGTGCCACCACAAGTGCCACCATTCACAAATAAGCATCACAAGCACAAGTCCATCTACCTCTATTGTTGACGGCCACTCCACCGGTCCCACTGCGACGGAGGTGTGCCCTGAGCTGGAGGTGTGCCATGAACATCATTCGACGCCGCCGATTGCCCCTGCACAAAAGAGAAGTGATTGCACGTGTGAGACAAGATTTAAGGTAGGTTCTAAAAACTTGAAAAAAAGCAACATATTAGTGGTTGGCATTTGCTCATCCTACTTGCAGCCCACTATATATGGCCTACCAAGACTCCAAGGACATCCCATCTCTGAGACGACAAAGCCAACCAGATCAAGAGCAGCTAGAGGAGAAGAAATGTACGTAACAAGGCCTCTGACAAGGTACCTGGCCGACCCCAAGTTCACGGCAGAGCCGCCGCCTGAAGGACCGGGCTCAGGGTTCCTCGTCGTGCTCGACGAGGCTACCGAGCAAGCGAGTACGCTCTGCTGTGGCCTGTGCTTAGATCCCAGGGTGCGCCGTCTCCCATTCCCACAGAACCGGCAGCTCTCCGTGAAGCAGGGCAACAGCTCTGATCCATTGGAGCACGTTCTACAAGATGACGATGGAGCAGAGCTGGGAGCAGATATACAGCAGGGAGAACGCCACACATCTTCAAGGGACTGGGAGCAGCAGTACCAGGCTGGAGATCGCAGTGACTGCGACTGTGCGGCGCTTCACGGCGATGCTGGGCGGCACCAGCCCGGTACAAGCAGGCGCGCCCCAGGCGGATGATGGGGCGATGTGGTTCCGACCAGCGACGGCGGCGAGAACCACTGTTGGAGGTGTGGGGCTTGACATGGTGCTGTGGGAGAGGATGAGGTGGGAGGTGGAGAGGGGAGGCCGGTGGGTTGCGGCCACCGGCAATGGCCACGAGGAGAGGATCCAGCGGACAGAGAGGCGCGACGACGGCCTGGGCCACTGGAGCAAGTTTGGGTGCTATTTGCTGGTTGAGAGGTTTGTGCTCAGGAGGATGGATGGCACCGTGGCACTCACCTGTGAGTTCAGGCACACAGACAAGATTAAAGCCAAGTGGCTATGACCAAAATGTACATGACCACTGAAGCCATCTGTTCGTCAAAATTGGAGTCAAATTTTGTGCCTATGGACTACCTCGTTTCAGGTTCATCAGTTGTGGTTTTTAGGGAGTCCGTGTATATCTTGTTGTTGTCCTTTGCTTTCGGCTAGCAAGTTGGGTACTTTTGGTATAGCTTGTGCTCATGTTCGTGGTGGTGTTAATTAGTTTGCTTGACTCTTGAGTCTCGGATCTTCTATTTAAGTTCAGTCAAAGTCCAGAAAAAGCTGCGTTTCATGGCAGCACCAAACCCTCTATGTATGTTAGTCGCTGACCCCATATGCTCCAACGTGGGCTAAAATTTAAAAAAGACACAAATGTGACATGTTTATTTGAATACGGACAGCGAATAAAAACTGGCAGAGACATCCTAAGGGGGTGTTTGGTTCCAGGGACTATTTTTTAGTCCCTGTCACATCGGATGTTTGGACACTAATTTGGAGTATTAAATATATTTTAATTACAAAACTAATTACATAGATGGAGACTAATTTGCGAGACGAATCTATTAAGCCTAATTAGTGCATGATTTGACAATGTGGTGCTACAGTAAATATACTCTAATGATGGATTAATTAGGCTTAATAGATTCGTCTCGTAAATTAGTCTCCATCTGTGTAATTAGTTTTGTAACTAGAATATATTTAGTACTCCAAATTAGTGTCCAAACATCCGATGTGACAGGGACTAAAAATTAGTCCCTGGAACCAAACACCCCCTAAAGCTGTTGGACCTTTGGGATAGTAGAGTGCCAATGCACACTTTCCCAGAGCATTTCTGCTTTGTGAAAGGAAAGACAACTACCCTTGCAAAAGCCACATTCACATATCATGGTGCATTTGTCTCAACATATCATTTGGATTCACATTCATATATCCATATCCACATTCACATTTAGATTTAAGGTGGAGAAACTCACATGAGTGACAGCAGGATCATTTGATGGAGTGAATATCATCGGTGGCGGAACATAGCCTGAGTGAGCTCCAAGACCTTGAATATACTGAAACATCTGCTCCATCCTCCGTCGATCCTCCTCAGCCCTCGCCTCAGCCTCCTCCCGTCACCTCCTCTCTTCCGCCACCTCGGCCTACAATATTTCACCCCAATGATACAACGCAAAGCAAAGGTATGTAAAAATCAATGAACGACGAATAAAACAGAAATAACCTTGAGGTATGCGCACCGTGTGTGGTATGCTGATCCGGCCGTGTGTGCGTATGGGCGGGCTCGAGCTCGTGCTCCTTGGGCTCGAATCTCGGAGAGAGACCTAGTACGGGCGGGTCGATTGCGCCGTCACCAATCCAACCGACCGCCGTGCTTCTTCCCTCCTCCCAACCTCATGACGACTTCTCCATCAAGGTCCTCGGAGGTGGGATCGTACTCTAGCCCATGGACCTCCCTTGCCATCGCTGTTTACTCAGTGAGGCGGGTGTGGACGGACGAGTTGTTGTATGCCTCGGGCGGGTCCTCCGGGTTGTAGTGGACATCGGATGTCACCTTGCCCTTGTGGGCCATTGCCCACGCCTCGAACTGCGAGACGGGCACGCCACCATGTGACGCCGACTGCGAAAGAAACAGCAAGATGATTAGAAATTTGTATAGTTGAGCTTTAGAATAAAGAAATGGATTCAGCGTACCCATTTAGCTGCGTATGCCGGGAGGCAAAGGTTGCCTTGATGGTGTGGTGCACCAGGCATCATCAAACGCCGCTCCCGGCAAGCGTTGTGCGTCTCCCACCACTCGGGGCTGCACCACTTGTCCACCATTGCCTCCCAGCTGTCTTCGTGCCCAGTGCACCACCACGGAACCACCTACACGACATCAAGTATATGTAGATCAAATTAAGCGTATTTAATCTTAGAAAAAATCAGTATTAATCTTATATATTTACCTTCATGTATTGTTCCTTGGTCAGAGTCTCATTTCTTGCCTCTTTTTTCGTGACCTTCCTAAACTCGAAGGTCGCGTTGTATGTCACGACGGCCTGGAGGTGCGCCTAGTAGTGCATGTCATCCACGAGTTTGTGACAAGCTTTGTTAGTCGCCGCCCTCGCTGCCACCTCCCATCCCGGCTTGCATCTGAAGAAATCCTGTATGTAGACGCAGTGTATCCTATCATTATTTGAAGAATGTCCAATGAATGCGATGAATTGAGCAGTGTAGTGAGATGAAGACTTACCCACAGCTCCGTAATCACCCGCTCTGCCTTGTGGCCGTAGATCCTGCCATCCCGATCATATGCATCTGCGCAGACGGCGTAGTGGGCAAACATCCAGGCCGGCTGCTGCACTCCGGCAAAGTCAACAAAGCCAGGGAAGTGTGTCTTGCACAAAAGACCAAGAACGCCATTGGGATGGCGTCTGTGACCACCTACACCCACAATCACAAAACCCCTGCCCAAGTGATCAAGAAAAATTATTAGTTTCAACATAACAAATGAGAAAATAGTGACAGCATATAAAGTTACTTACTTTGAACCACCGGGTCGAACCATCGGGTGTCTCTTAAGAGGTATCGGTCGCTTCGGGAGTTGTGAGGGACCTCGCTAATAGAGTTTAGCCGTGCTAGAGGAAGAGGAGCCCCCTGCCGCCGCACCACAGGAAGAGGAACCCCCCGCCGCCTCCTCAGCCTCGTCCTCCTCGTCCTCCTCCTCCTCCTCCACCTCCTCCTCGTCCTCCACCGCCTCCTCGTGCTCCTCAGGCACCTCCTCCTCCTCGTCCTCCACCGCCTCCTCGTGCTCCTCAGGCACCTCCTCCTCCTCAGACACCTCCACCTCCTCCTCCTGCCTCTATGGCGGAGGAGCCTGACGACCCCTGCGTTTCCTTGGGGGTGGCGGAGGAGCTACCTCCTCCACCCTCTTGTATTTCGACTTTACTTTCCTTAAACTCCTTAAGAGACCCCCGCCGCCTGGCATCTTTGTTCAATCACCTACAATTACAAAGAGGTACAAAATGAATAAAACATAATTAGAAAGAGATGTAAAATAAATAAGACGTATTGCAAAATGAACAAAACATAATTAGAAGGTAACATAATATTACATGTCTTAGAAATAATCATCATGATCGGTATTAGCTGGATCATAAGTCTCATCATCACTATCATGCATGTCTACTTCCATGTTGATATCATGACCATCCGGAGGAGCAATGTTGTCATCACTGTCATTGCCTAATTCTAATCGCCGAAGTAATTCTAAGTCCTTCACATTTTGAACCTCATCCCCATCGTCCTCATCATCAACCCTTTCATTGTCTACTTCCATTCTGACCGGATCGGTTATGTTTATCACAAAGCTCCCTTGTAGCCCGTCTTCTTGAAAGAACTCTCCGTCATATGTGTTTGTGTCAAAGTTGTAATCTTCATTGTTTGGGATAGGTAGTTTACTGTGTGGCGATACCTTATTCACAACATCCCAACCCTTAAGATGCGGGTCGTCTTGGCATGCCCATGGGAGATAATAAACTTGTGTGGCCTGTTGAGCCACGATATAGACATCGTCTCCTGGGTACTTGGAATCCTGTCGAATTTTGACTAGCCCAAGATTAGGGGTCCATCTTATTTTTTTAGGATCAAACCAATGGCATTTAAATATGACAGGATTAAGAGGTTTGCGGCCATGAAACGTGAGTTGGTATATTTCTTCAACTCTTCCATAATAATCGAGCCCATCAAGGGCGGGCGTGAAAACTCCGGTATTTGTGGTTATTTGATTGGGCCGACTCTGCTCGTGTCTTGTTGTGCGAAAACGATATCCATTCACGTCATAACCGGTAAATGACATGACCCTAAAGGCACAGCCACCGGCAACTTGACTCAACTTGGCGCTCATAAATGCATCGGATTGGCCCTGCAAGCTCAAGCAGGATAGTTCGTTATATCATTCGCACGTACGAGCAACTTATAATGTCAAACTAAGTATGCGCTAAATTAGAACGTACCTTGCGTTTGAACCAAGAAATGAAATTGGGTTTTTCATTTCCCGCACCCCGTTTAAGAAGGGTGTGAAATTCCCACGGGGTAGGCGCCCTTGATCGATGCCAGAATTCATGAGTAAATTCCCTATACCGACGAGAAATAAGGAGTTGGATGCAGAATAGTGACTAGTCGAGAACAAGTTTGTTGAAAATAGTGACTTACCCCATGTACGGCTCGACTTCTTCGAGGTTGGTCAGTACATATAGCATGATAGTGTGCCACTCTTCATGACTCAAGGCCTTGAGGGTCTTACCACTTGCACTTCCGAGTTGCCCTCAGAAAAGGCTGAGGTTCGATTCATTTTCCCCAGCATTATAATGAGGGGGTGGATTATGCACGCTAGGAAGGTTGTCACTATAGTATGTTGTTGTGAAGTTTGACACCTCCTCCAGAATCGATGCCTCTGCGATGGAAGCTTCAATCTTGCATCTATTTCTACATTTCTTTCGAACAACCTTTAGGGTTCTCTCAATTGAATAGCACCAACGGGCCTACACAGGCCCCCCATTCGTGTCTCATACGGGAGGTGCAAAATCAAATGCTGCATCGGATTGAAGAAGCCTGGTGGAAAGATCTTCTCCAGCTTACAGAGCAACATAGGTGCCATTTTTTCCATGTCTGCAACCACGGCCCGAGATAACTCCTTAGCACAAAGTTGGCGGAAGAAATAGCTCAACTCTGCCAGCACTTGCCAGACATGATCTAGGACATAGCCTCGAACCATCACCGGAAGAAGCCACTCAAGCCATATGTGGTAGTCATGACTCTTGAGCCCATTGCATAGTAGATAAGTTCACTCCCCTCCTCAGATTCGCTGCATACACATCAGGGAACATTAACGTTTGGAACCATTCTAGTACTTTCCTCCTTTGGGGCCTGCTTAACGTGAATTCGACCTTAGGCCTAGTCCATTTCTTGTCATTTCTAGGAGGTTGCATCTCTTGCTTTGGTCTGTCGCATAACGTTGCTTTTTCTGGAATTGTCCAC